CCCCGCCCCTGGCAAACGAACGCTTTCTCTGCGGGTATGGACGGGACCTGGAACATAGTCGTCCGGACATTTTGCGACTCACTTTGTTCATTAAGGACGTTTTCGCGATTTGATGTTGGGTTTTAGAGATTACGTCACATTAACACTGTAAGACTTATTGGTGCAAATGGACTGCGCTAAGCAGAAAGGAACCAAGCCACATCAGCTATTGCCAAATTTAACCGGGCGATAGAATTTTTTTACAGAAAAACGGTTACGCGGATTTTTGCGCAAATTTTGGTGAATTTTCTGCAATCATTTTCGTCCATCTAAGATAGTTCAACTTCTAGTTATTGATCCTTATTTGGACCGCGTTAAGCAGAAGGGAACCAAGCCACATCAGCTATTGCCAAATTTAACTGAGTAATTTAATTGTTTACATAATAACCGGTTATGCGGATTTTTGCGCAAATTTCAGTGAATTTTCTGCAAAGTCAAAGCAAATGTTTTAAAACTTTCAAAGGAATCCGCACGAACGTTCTCTTGTAGAAAATGAGATTATCCGATGAAATTTGGCAATAGCTGATGTGGCTTGGTTCCTTCCTGCTAAATGCGGTCCTGATGTGACTGTTCAGGAGGGACACTCCACGATGAAAAATTTTCAGTCCCACAATGTACGAATTTGCAGTAATTATAGAGCAATTAATTTCGTTGAATTGAGAACCAAAATTGGAGTTTGGAAATTCGTCAAAAATCCCTTCTCAGTGTCCTGTTGAATGAAATGCCAGCGGTTTGGTTCGTTTTTATGTAGATAGAGCGTAAAATTCTATTTTCATTCGACAATTCTACCTTATTTTTTTTTCTTTTTGATATCCTGAAGCGTTTTCAGAGGACCTCCTTTTGCTCCAGTATCATTAAATCATTGTTGATTTCAAAGTCAGTGGTGAGACATGAATGATATCGATTATCGATATTCCTCCATTTGAAGCTGTGGTGAAGAATCGATTATTTAGGTGTTCGTTGCAAAGACCCTATTCATCGGTCCTTTTCCATAGATTTAAATGGCACATCAATCGATATGTCGTAAAGCACGCAATACCACTGATTAAGGTCCCTTTCCCCGAGGACGGTAACGAAATTATGATAACGGAAAGGAAGTTTAAACATACTTTTCAATACTTTAAAGTTGGATTTTAGTCGAGAATTTTACACAGATTATACTTTCAAACTAGTTTTAGTTGAGTTCATGAATACCTCAATTTTTTCAAAACCCACTGGGTCGCGGCTCATATCAGTCATGTTGGAATATGCTCGCGCACTTTTTGCCAATCGGGTCAATTACCGAAATAACCAGAATACCTAAAATTGAAGTCAATTTGAAGTAGTTATAGAGACCGCACAAAGCGATTAATATTTTGAAAGAATGAGTTACATTAGTTGAATGAAGGGGGAACAGGTCGATGCGCGGAAATGAATTTGTTGGCTACAATAAACACCCAAATTAAATAGCCGAACCATCCCTCATGGAGGCATCTAGCGACCTTCTCTCAAACGAGAAAATCACACTTTTGACCCTTGGTTGAGCCTCCACGGTAGATGAAGCACTGTGTAACTCGATTGACTCTAATACAAGTTACCGTTGTGATGAATCGTCCAATTGCGTTGCATTGGCCAAGAGAGTCAATAATGGGCATGAACGCTGCGCGCCGCTAGTAATAGGTGCCTATGAAGGTATGACACTGGAAGGCCCTCGAGTGATTAGCATTTAGGAACTTTTCGAAACCAGCGAATTCCCGAAAATATTTAAAAACACAGAACAGCCAATCAGCTTAAGTATGCTTCAGGCGGAAATCACTGAGGAGAGCGCGTTTTGCGGAAAGCGCGACTGATCAAATGAAGGGGCCAAAACGAGGTACGCATTTCTGCACTTAAGCCCGAGCGGATACGCGAAACAATTTCTACGGTTTTAGATGACTTTCCGATTTTTTTCGATTGTATATTCGATTATTTATTTTTTTCTTGCTGGCAGCTTGACGACATCTTCAACAACGCGTTTATGCAGCTGACTCAACTATCTCGTTTGCGGTGTTTAAAAATCTACGCTCACATTTTATTTTTTTGAAGTAGACCAAATCAATATCATTCCTTCAAATTTTCACGGAATTTTCTCCGCACAAAGAGGAAAAATCACAGAAATTTCCAAGACTGGATGTTAAGTAGTTTTTCATTTAAAAATAAAGTATGACAGGAAGTCTGCGACGTCGCAAACCGAGATACGTGGTTTGGTAGTTTCACCGTCGCCATTTTTTGGTAGGAAGAACAACTACTTGCCATTCTTGTGCGTGAGAGAAACACTATTTTTATACATGTACACCACATGCTCTATTTATACAACACTATGATCGCGTCGCTTCCCCTCTGAAAAATGCGAACTATATCATAGTCACATTTTTTATTTAATTTTTCTTCGAATTTCTATATATTTATCTTGTTATTATGCTTAATTATTTTCCAATTTTTTTTATCTTCGTACTTATTTGTTTAATTTTTTTAAAATTATTATTACTTTTATTTATTTATTCATAATCATTTATTTCTTTTTAATTCAGGGTTGGTCGGCGCATCGTAAATACTAGACTCTTTCTGAAAGCAAATAACTCTTGCAGTAAATTACAACTATACCCAGTCCTCCC